ATGCATTTTACCATTTTTATTTTATGTTTTATGACAAGTATTTTAGACTTTTGAATACGGATATTTCACATATTCTCCCTAAGAAGCCTGAGAAGCCAGAGTGACCAGGTAATACTGATTGTAGTTAAAATGCAAACGTTCCTCCCTGGCCCTCCCTGGTGACACAACTGTTAAAGCGCAGCACTGTGGAACTTCCGGCTGCAGCTGCTTCGGTGTGAGTTCGACCCCCGGGCTGGGAGCCGACCCACATGGTGTGGCGGACCCCATCCTGTCTCACCCGCTGCGCCCCTCAGCAGTGTACTTTCTCAGTGTGCCAGTTCTGCTCCCACCTCTGCTCTGGTGAATCCTCTCACACCCCTGCATCTCTGGCCTGTACCCCAGTTCTTGTATGCATAATAAATAAAAATTTTTTTTAAAAGCCTGACAAGGCTTCAGTCAATTTTCCCACGCCTCCCATTCCCCACCCCACCCCCCAACTCTCATCAGTCTAATGGCTTATTGTCAACAGTTTCAATGTCACCACTTCATCCTACCTAAATTGTGAGATTCCACACCATCTTTCCCTATTGCATTACACTTTTTTACCTCCTTTTTATGCATACAAGAACGGAGGTGCAGGCCAGAGGGTTAGGATATAGGTGAGAGCATTCACCAGAGACAGAGTGGGGAGCAGAAGAGGCAGATCAACGAAGTACACTGCTGAGAGGAGCAGTGGGCCGGACAGGAAATGTCTGCTGTGGCATGTGGGTCAGCGTCCTGACCAGGGTGGAACTTGTGCTGCAGTAGCTGGTGACAGCTTGATAGTAGTGAGACTTTAACCTCATGTGCACTGCATGAGGGAGACCCCTGCATCACACTTTTATTTTCTTCCTGTTTATCACTGTCTGAAATCATGTTTTCTTACTTATTCTCTTCTTCTACTTGAATAAATTTCACTTGAGCAGAGACTGTCTTGCTTGTTGCTGTATTCCCAGTACCTAGAACACTACTAGTACATAGTAAATGCTTATTAAGTATTTGTTAATGAATGAATGAAATGGATATCAATGGACTGATACAACGCTCAAAGAGAGGGAAAATGAAGAAAATAAACAGCATGCTTTCACAGGACCCTGAATTTGAATCTGGTTATAGCTCCTCACCTTACTTCAGTTCTTAAGTGTCAACTCTATATCAAATACTCAAGATCCCCATCTCACCTGTCTTCAAGGAGCTGCCTTTCTAGCTGCGAAGGCCAACCACTTGACAATTTCAGATATCCTTTAAGTGCTATGACAAAGGTGCCATACTACTGGGTTTCTCAACCTTGGCACTCTTGACACTTTGGAGTCTGATAATCCATTGAGGGAAGTGGGGAAGTTGTCCTGTGCATTGTAGAGTGTTGAGCAGTAGCCTTTGTTTCTCCCCACAGATCCCAACAGCACTTCCCTCCACCCAGTTGTGCTAATGGAAATTGTTTTCAGACATTTTCCACTGTTCCTTGTGGGAGGAGAAAAACCTCAGCTTTGCCATATCCTCCAGCATTGAACAGCACAACCTAGAGCCACAG